TTATTTTCATCTTCATCCAGGCATAAAAAATTTAATTGGCTTCCAAACTCCTTTCTGTGCCCCTAACCTGTTGGAGATGCCATCTTTAAATGGCTACGAACTCCAGTAACAAACAGATGAAAAAATATGCAGCCTTCAATTACATTTAACCTGAATGCATTGCTCCCTATAGTAACCTGTGGCCTTTTATTTGCAATTGTTTCCATCTGTACCGATCTACACCCACAGCAGGAAGTCAACAAGAGCATCATCAAAAATATTCAACATGCCTACATGCAAAGCTACGCACTGTTCAATATATCTGGATTGTTTTGTGCACATTATTGTTGAGTTCAGAAAACATCAGGTTTTAGTAGAAAATCCACAGTAAGGATTAAAGTTTGCAGGAATGATACTGATTATTTAAATAAGTGACTTGGGAGTAGAAGTAAGGAAACTCTGAAAATGTTGTTGTGAAGGTAACTCTATAATTGTATAACGACAAAGCTTTTCTTCTTTTTTCAGTTTCCTCCCTTAAACAAAGATTTATAGAGAAATGTTAAGACTGGAAGTGACGGCTGTTTGAGTGCAGAGAAAAACCTGAGAAACTGAAGTAATAACGAGAAGTTAAAGCTTAAGGTTTTTTTGGTTCTGCAGGAGGTTCATATTGAGAACAGGCACTGATGCCCTCTATGGTAAAAGATAAATATGTGTATTTTCCAGGATCTTTTTGGTACTTTCAGATTTTTTGATCTAGCATTGATAAAGGCTGCTGTGCAATTAAAAATAATCAACTTTTATCTTATTTAGTTAATGGCTCTTAGCTCTGTGTTAAAACACCCTTCATGAGATGACTTTATGCAGTGGTGAGAAAGAGCTGACTTCCTCTTTACAAACCATGAAGGATGAAGACGCCTTTAAATAACACATCTAGTAACAGAGAAGGCTGCTGTTTATTCTGCTGCTGATCAACTGATCTGAACAGATCAACTGGTTTGAAAACTAAACTGTTTTTTGTTTTATTGAAGAAATTTTGGTGAGTTCACATTTCTGACTCTGATTATTTAACCAAACATTTCAACAGGCTTGTAATTATTTAAGTTCAAATA